GGGCCCCCCCCCTTTCTCCACCAGCCCCCCCACAGATGCCCTGCCTGGGCCAGCTCCAGCCCTTTAAAAAAAACAAAACCCTAGGATTCACTGCTTGTGCTGGTGGGGGTGATCCCCACCCCGCATTGCCCCACACCATGTCAGGGGCTCTGCGTGAGCTCCCATAACCCCAAGGCCACTGCAGGAGTGGTGAGTCCCAGGGCTTTTTGTGGCTTTTTTTTTCTTAAAGGGCTGGAGCTGGCTCGGGCAGGGCGCCGGTGGAGGGTCCGGGGAGCGTGGGGTAGTGGGGGGCAGCAGGGATCGCCCCCCCACCCGGCAGCACCTGCTGAGCACTGGAGCTTTTTTTTTAAGTACCGGGAGCTGGGGCAGGTGGGGGGCATCCATGGGAGGCTGGGGGAGCGAGGGAGCGTCGGGGGGGCTGGCAGGGGGCCCCCCCTGTTCCCCTCCTCCCCCCCCCGCCCCCAGTACTTACCAGCTCGGAGTCGGCTGCAGCTCCCTGCTGCAGCCACCGGGGACTGCCTGAATCACCAAAGCTCTCCAAACTTTTTCCAAAGATTTGGAGAGCCTTGAGTTGAAGGGGAACAGAACGGAGTTGAATCGCCATTATGTGTAAGCGAGCAGATCCCGTACCCAGCTTAAGCTATAAGGAAGTCAAAGGGCATGATCCCAAAACTGCTAGGCTAAGCACAAACTGGAACAATCTTATTCTAGTTTAGTAAAAACAGGATACTGGTATAGGAAGAGTGTGACTATTAATGATTGGTGTATCTGTTACTATGCACATGATGTCACACTTCCTATTTAATCAAGTTGCGCGTGAAGTAGAACAACAGACAGTTTCCTCTCGGGGCAGCTGTCTGTTCAGAATGCATTCATTAATAAATCAAGTCTTTAAACTTATGTTGTCGTTCGTCTGAGCCTCCGCCTAACGAGCCCGGGGACTAAGTTTTCCCCAACAGAGTCAATTCGGACCTTTAAATTGGTCCCCTGATTCGATTCAGAGATTTGGCCTGATTCGGTCGAATCACCACCCAAAGCTTCACACAGCCCTCGTAGCCAACATTCGATGCCTCTGAGGAAGGCTTATAAACACCTTGATGAGTAGCAAAAAGGCAGAGGCAGGGCAACAAGCAAAGCCCAGTATCATGGGAAGTACCTATAGCAGAGTATAGGTATCACTATGCCTAGATCATCCCCAACCAGCGTCCTGCAATCTCTACTTGAACAACTCCAGTGATGGAGAGTCCACAACGTCCCTCAGTCTATTCCACTGCCTCCCAGCTCTAACAGTGACGTTTGCAAGCTATTGTTCTGATATGTGTGTTTTGAATGTGTTGCTGGTTAAGAACTGGGGATCTTCGGTGGCAGGCTCGAGCAGTGGCAATGTGAATGGCCGACCAACACCCACTACTGTAAAACCTTGAAGGATCAGTGAGAGTCCAAGGCTAAGACCTTTGGAAGCTCAGTAACCCGTCAAGGTCAGCTGGATTCCAAGTCAGGGATGAGATGCACTAGAAAACAGGCATAACCAGGATGGGCAGCACCAGAGATATCAGGACACCCATGAATTGTGAACCACCCGTGAAGTTGCCCTAGCTGGTGCTTGCTCTTCTTGAGGCACCAGGGAGCCCTGCACTGTAAAAGCAGAAAACAAGGAGCAAACTGTGCATCTCAGTTAGCCTGAGTCCTGCCAGGTGTGACCTAGGCTCATGCAGGCCTCTGTCAGCTGCAAGCAGGCAGGTCACTGTGACATTTTCCATGGAGTGCTGGTAGATGGGTTCATGGGTGGGGGGGCTCAGCCTCCAGCCCAAGGAGCCATGTTATCTGGTTTGTGGGCTCCCCATGGGTCTGGAAACATGGCAGCAGGGAAGCAGCAGCACTTAACCCTGGCACTGCCACCCTGCTGCCAAATTTCCTAACCTTGCACGGCTGGATCAGGCCCCAGGCAGGCCTGGGCCATTCATCGCCTAGTAGCTGGATAGGGCCTGGGCCTGAGCCAACCCATTGCCATGAGGCCAGCTTGGCTGTTGCTGTGCAGCCAGATCAGGCCCCTGCTGTGCCTGTCCAGCACTCTGGATCAGTCCTATGGACCGGATCTAGCCCATGGACAGACCTGGTACCACTCCTCTGGCCCACAAGGCAAAAAGCCTGGGCCCCACTGGATTAAAAGTTTACTAGTGAAGTGGCAGATCTAGCGCATATTCAGTCTGTCTGCCTGCCACAACCAGGGAGGCTTGGTGCATGTCCAATAAAAAAGTCCATGCTGGCCTAAATGGCCATGTCCAGAGATCCTGCCTCACCACAGACAAGAAACAAGCAGCAAGAACAATGCCCAGGGACCTTTTCCTGCCCCATAAGGTCACTCTGGGTGCCCTGGGGCAGGTTCCCTGGTCTTATACCACTGGGATCTCACTTCCTGCATGCCTGGTTTTATACCAGTGACAAAAATAGATGCATTTCCTGGAGGACATGTAAGGTCCTTCCGATTTCCATATCAGAACAAACCTGCTTCATATCAATGATGACAGGGGATACGCAGCACCGTGTCATAGCATTCAGCCAGCTGCAAAACAGTCAAAAAGGGCTCCGGACCACCTTAGGATCTCAGCTTCCCAGCCCCACAGCTGGGCTTTGTTGACTCACCCGTCTGCAGTGACCCACGTCTGTGTTTCCTTGGGACTTCGGCTCCTAGACCCCGGTAAGAAACCCATTGCCCTGGCCCACCAGCCATCTCCTAGTAATTTTTGAGTGTTTAGGATTCAGCACATTCAAAGCCTATTTGAGCTCTCTGTTTGGCTGGGACCGGCTCCCTGAGCCCGCTCATATCCCTTGGCCCCAAGGGCACTTGGGGTCTGTGCAAGAGGCGTGCAGGATGGGGCCAGGCTGCCAGGGGAGCTGGGAAGAGGCATGAGGAAATCTCTCAAGACCAATTTTGATTGTCCTAAAAGAAATCCCTAAATTCCTGTTGTGGGGAAACTCCCCTTGTCTCACACTAAAGCTGAGTCTGGGGCACCCTGGAGGGAGGCACTATATTGGGACCATCTGTAGCTGGCAGCCTTGTCCCGCTGTGGTGCTTGGTGCTGTGGCAGCCCATGGGGGCTCAGGCAGCTGCAGTCTTCCCCTAGCACCAGGTGGACACAGGTGGCATGTGCTGTTCCCTCAGCCAGCTGGCCGGAGAGGGCAAGGGGGCCATGCCTCTGCCCATCTCAGACAGCAGCCCAAGCATCTGAGGTTGACAGTGACAGGGCAGATGGCAGGCAGCTCTGGGGAGGAGCAGGGAGTGGGTTTCAGTCCTGCCCCCATCCCTGGGGCCAGTCCAGGAATCCTGCAGCTGGCTCAGGAGCCTGCACTGTAACAGGGGCACCGCAGAGCCGGACAGGAGGCAGTGAAAATGCTGTGAGGAAGGGCCTGGCAGTGAGATGCAGCAATGCACACAGTCGGGTTAGTGCCCTGGGCCTTCAGCCAGCAGTGATGGGGTTAACTTGCACTCACCTGTGAGTGAGGGACATGGCAACCCTTAATTTGGCTGTGGGGATAGGCAAGAGAGTCAGCCTTCTGGTTGCCGGCTGTGCTGACCTGGACCCCTCCTCCTGCAGCAGTGGCGTCTCCCCCAGGATGGGGCGGGGGATGAGGAGAGAGCCCCTGGCCCCCCTGCCTCTTCCAGCACCCCCTTACTCATGCCATGTCGCCCACTCCTAGAGACACTGCTGGTGAGACTGGAAGAACTGTCTGTTTAGCTTGAGGGTGTCAAACGTACAGCCCGTGGGCCAGATCCGGTGCAGAATTGTTCTGGCCCCGATAGTCTGCCGGGCTGCTGGAAGTTGGAGCGTGGCCTGCCGCAGAGCTGGGGGTCCCTGGACCCCCATGGAAATGGCCAGCAGGAGCAGCCCCATGCACCCATGCTGCTGCACAGACACCACGCCACTGCCTGAGCACACCTCGCGCTGCTGCAGGCCTCCGGACCTGAGCTGCCTCCATACTGCTGTCCAAACGCAGCTCTGTCCTGCCCCCCAGCCCCTCACCCATGCTGCTGCTCAAAAGCAGCACCACCACAGTGGCTGCTGGCCCTGTGGATCCAGCCCAGGAGGAGCCCCCACAGTCTGGACCCAGCCCGGGGTCCATGGTGAGTAAGACCCCTGGCTTAGCTCATTAAGATGATGCAGGAGTGACTTGATGGCTGTGTTTATGTTTCCTTCGGTTGTGGGGGGGAAACACCCAGTACTAAGGGGAACTTTAATTTAGCAGAGAAAAGCAGAGCAAGAGCCCGTGGCTAGCAGCTGAACCAGACAAATCCAAGGGAAAAATGAGGCAGACACTTTTAACAGCATAGGTTGGGATCAGCAACCTAAGCCTCAGGATGGAGCAACCCAGCCCCAGTCCCTGGGCCCCCACCGGACCCCTGCAGCTGGGAGCTGTGCCAGTACTACCACTGCTTCTCCCAGCCCTCCGCACCACAGCTGCAGTGTGAGCACAGCTTGTACCCAGCAGGCAGGTGCCCCAGGGTCGGGGAGCTGGAAGATGACTGTGGCCTTGAAGTGGGAAGGGAGAGAAGCAGTGGAGGCAGCATGGGCACAGCCTCCAGCACGGTCACTGGCACAGCCAAAGCTCTGCCGCTCCATGGGCTGAACCAGCCACGGGCTGTACGTTGCTGACTCATGATGTAAGTGATGGACCTTTGGAAGAGCCGCCGGGCTTGAGCTGCAGCCTGCATTTTGGGCCAGATGGGCTGCATTCAAATCTGGGCCATGCTTTAGCCAGCACTTGGCTTCATGCTCCATGCAGAGGCGAGTGGGTGATGTTGGGTCTCAGAAAACCAGATGAAATGATGTGATGGTGCCCGATAGCCCCCGGCTCTCGATCTCTGAGAGCACAGAGCCACACGCTGCTGAATGCCTGCCAGCTTCTAGGATCATATCTGGTCGTCTGAGTATATCAGGTCCGAGGCAAGCACATCAGGTTGATGTCAGCACCACTGTAAACACAGCATCTGACCTCACTGCAAACTAGGCTGAGTCACCATGACCCCTGGCCCTGGCACAGACCATGATGATTTCCTCTCATTCCCTATGGCTTTTCCATCCTGCCTGTGATATTTCCCTGGCTGACAGCCAGGCTAATAGGTCTGGCTTTCCCAATCCATCCTGTTTATCCTTTTACCCAGGTACTGCATGTCCATTTTTCCAGGGGTCAGGAGCATCTCCAAGATTCTGTGCTTTGTTAACAAGCAGAAGTACTTTGTTTGTATCATTCCTAGAGCTGGTGGAAGCAGGAAGTGGCTGTGAGGGCCGAGTACATGACAGCCTCTTGCTAGGGACAAGTGCAAAGTCCTGCACTTAGGACAGAACAATCCCAAGCACCAGTGCAGCCTGGGGGCTGGGCAACAGCTCTGCAGAAAAGGACCTGGGGGGTACAGAGGACAATAAGTTGAATATGATCCAGCAGTGCACCCTCGTTGCCAAGAAGGCTAATAGCATACTGGGATGCATTGGTAGGTGTGTTGCCAGCAGATCGAGGGAAGTAATTCTTCCCCTTCATTCAGCACTGGTGAGGCCACATCTGGAGTACTGTGTCCAGTTACGGGCCCCCACTACAGAAAGGATGTGGACACATTGGAGATAGTCCAGTGGAGGGCAACAAAGATACTTAGAGGGCTGGGGGACATGTGAGGAGAGGCTGAGGGAACTGGGCTTATTTAGTCGAGAGAAGAGGAGGCTAAGGGGGGGATCTAATAGCAGCCTTCAACTACCTGAGGGGTGGTTTGAAAGAGTATGGAGCTGGACTGTTCTCGGTGGTGACAAATGACAGAACAAGGAGCAATGGGCTCAAGTTGCAGCAAGGGAAGTTTAGGTAGATCTTAGGAAGAATATTCTCACTAGAAAGGTAGTAAAGCACTGAACAGGCTACCCAGAGAGGTGGTGGAGTCTCCATCCTTGGAGGTTTTTAAGACCCACTGGACAAAGCCTTGGCTGGGATGATTTAGTTGGGGCTGGTCCTGCTTTGAGCAGGGAGTTGGATGAGATGTGACCTCCTGAGGTCCCTTCCAACCCTCGTTGTCTATGACTCTGTGATTCAAGGACATACCAGGAATGTTTAATGAACACTCCCATCCATCTGCTCAGCCCAGCAGCCTTGCACCCAAGCCAAGGGCAGCTCACTCAGAGGACAGTAGTGTAGCAGTGGGTGGGAAAGTCCCCAGGCGCTACCTAAGTGGGGGAGGATACTTGAATGGAGCTATGGGGGCCTCACTCTCCTACCTCCCCCATACTCCACTGCACCTTGCACCAGCTCCAGCTCCAGCTCCAGCTCCAGCAGCAGGGTAGATGGAGCAGCAGTGGTGGCACGTGGTGTCCTGGGCAATTATGGTGCATGGTACAGGAGCAGGCACCAGAGGTTTGCTGCTGCTGGGAGGTGGAGACAGCTACGCTTGTGACAGGGGCCTGGGGCTTTGTTCCTGGGGTCAACACAGAATTGCCTTACTGTCCACGAGCCTCTCACCATCACACCCCTTTTCCCTGCAGCCGTGGCTCTGGCCTTAGCTTCGGTCAGCAAGTGAAGAAGATGGAGAGGATGCTGCTGTGGCTCCCTGTCCTTGCTGGCCTCTTAGGCATCGTCTCCCTGGCAGGTTGGTGATTGAGGCAGCCCTGGCTGTGACATCCCTGTGCTGGGTGGGGGTTGTTTCTCCCTCTGGAGCTGAACGGCAGTGATTGCCACTTGCTCAGAGGCTGCCCTATCTCCAGCTCCTGCCCCTGCGAGGGGCTGGCTGAACCGAGACGGAGCTGCGCATGAAGACAGAAGTATCGACAGGAGCCCAGGGAACTCCCTGATGCTTCACAGATGCATCCCATTGCCCTGGCTGCAGGGGACACCGCAGGTGCTTTGAGAGCGGAGTCCCAGGTGCTGCCCACATGGCCGCAGGCACAACACCCAGCACCAGCTGCTGCTCCCGCACCAGAGTCCCATGCCTTCCCAAGCATGTCCAGTAGGTGCTGCTGGTGACCGCGTATTGGAGCATCAGGAGCGTGGGGCTGTGCTGTGGGATGGGGAACCCCCTCTCAACTAGGACTGTCTTTTCCACACTTCAGGTCTGCCAGAAGCAAGGATCCGGGCGCACCCGTCCCACCCCAGCCCGGGCGCAGAGGTGGAGCTGATCTGTGAGGTGTCGGGGGGGCCCGGGTGAGGAATCTCCCCAGCCCTAACGCCTGCAGCTGGGCAGCTCTGGCTGCACCTGTCACAGCCACTCAGCCACCACTGCTCCCCCCCACACTTCACTCTCCCCTGTGCACCGAGCCCCCTGGGCCCAGAGCACTCCTAGGGCATGTGCCTCGCCTGCTTTCCCCACCAAGCTCATGCTCCACCTGCCAGCAGTGGGGCCCAGGGGCAGTGGGGCAGCTGGCATGTTCTCTGCAGAGCCCCAGGGGATCCCAGACCAGCCTGCTCCAGGTAGCACCACCGTCTGCATCTGCCCTACCACTCCAGCGCTCCCAGCCTGCCCTGCCCATCAGAGAAGGAGGGTAAGGCCCATAACGGTCCTGCAACTTCCCCAACCACAGCCCCAGTGTCCAGGGAGTGCTGCAGGCTTCCCTGTTACCCTACACCCCCATGCCGCCCGCAGAGGCCTTGGAACTGCACTTCCCAGGCAGCCAGCCTCCTCCTGGGCTGCTGGGCTGCTCTGCTTCTGGCAGAGCTCCCCCTGGGCTGAGCAGGGGCCAGCCAGCGGGTTCGGGAGCAGGCAGGGACTGCACCATAGGCCCTGGCCCCACCACACCCCTGGGAGGGGCTGCAGGTGCTCACAGCTGGTCCAGAAACACAGGGCTGGCCCCCACCCCCAGCATGAGACCAGAGCCCCTCCTGCTGTGCATGGGAGCCAGGACCACAGGTCTCCACAGCCCCATGGGCCGGGGCTGGCTGCTGGGACAGGGCAGAGGCATGGGGAGCAGCAGCTCCTGCATTCGGGGGCTCTCTCAAAGTCGAGCTGCTGCCCCTAGTGCCCAGCTGGCCTGAGGTGCGGCCCTAGCCCATCACTTGCTGCCACATGGGCTGTCTCAGCTGCCCTAATCTGTGCCCGCACTGATCAGCCCCTGTCCTCTGCAGGCCATGGGAGTTCCTGTGGGAGAAGGAAGATGTCCTGCAGAGGAGCATGGACAGTGTCTTCTTCATCCCCTCCTTCGGCAAGAATGACACTGGCACCTACACCTGCACAGCCACCAGCCCCACGGGCAGAGTCATCGCCGAGTACCACCTGGAGACCACAAGTAGGTCCCTGTTGGCTGCGGCTCCCACTAGGGCACATAGCCCTGCACCCTGGGGCTTTCGCCCACCTCCAGCAGGGCTGAGGTGCCCAGGGGGACATGTCCAGAGGCTTCGTTCAGACTGTCTCTGTGAACAAGCCTGTCCCTGATGGAGCATGGGGGCAGCCAGGGGATGGGGCAAGCTCGCCCAGGTCCCCAGAGGCGTCTGGCGTGGATGGCAGCAGTGTCGCTCCCCCTTCAGCACTATGTGGCTGCCCATTGCTGCTCTACCCACCTCTCCTCCTTATGCCAGTCCTTTCGTCACTACCGCTGGAGCAGGGGCTGCTTCTGAATGAGACTTTTTAAGTGAAGGGCTGATGCCACTTCCCCATTCCTGCACCACATGGTTCATACTAACCCTGCACTGGCCACTGTCACCCTGGGCCCAGATGGGATTATGCCTCCCCTTGTGAAGTGCTGGGTTTAGGGTACTGGGCTGGGAGTGGTGCTTGACTAGACGTGATCTTCTAAGGGCCCTGCTGGCCCCACTTGTCTGTGACTATAAGCAAGATCACCCTGTGCGCAGACAGAGGAGGTGCCCTCCCACCTCCCAGCCCAGCAGCCTGGGGACCAGCACAGGGCTTGACCCACCAGTACCTGGGCTAGGTACTGCCCAGGAGACCCTCCCCACTGACCCTTGCATTTATTAGTTACTGGATAAAGAGCATGGGGACGGTGCTGCCCAACCATGGGTGCAGGCACCTAGGGCAGAGCCTCAGGTCCCCCCTTTTAGGGCCTCAGTGCCAAGCCACTCAGCCCCTGGCTTGCCCCTGCCCTCCCAGTCCCAGGTCTCCTTCATTTGGCTGCCTGGTGGGCCAAGAGGAGGGTGGAGGACAGACTTGGGGTGCCTAGCTTGTTGCCTACTGGTTAAAGCACATTGCTGGGACACAGGGGTCTTAGAAGCTGAGTCACCTGCCTGGCAGAGGAGCCCATCTGTGCCCCTTTTCTCCCAGACCTGAAATGGCTGGCCTTCATCTTCCCCAGAAAGAGCAAAGACTCCGCCGTGCTTGTGAACATGGAGCTGGATGAGCCGCTGCGAAACTTCTCCGTGTGCCTGAGGTACTTCACGGAGCAAATCAAGTCCTATGCCCTCTTCTCCTATGCCACCAGGGGCCAGGACAACGACATCCTCCTCTACAAGCACAGGCTCCAGAATTACCGCCTGTATGTGGGTGGGGAATTTGTGTCCTTCAATGCCCAAGGGAAGGAGAGCACCAGCCGGGGTTGGATCCATGTCTGTGCCAGCTGGGAATCCAGCACGGGCATTGCTGAGCTCTGGGTGAATGGGATGCCTCTGCCCCGGAAAGCTCTGCAGGCAGACTATGCCGTCAGCCCCGAGGCTGCAGTCGTGCTGGGGCAGGAACAGGACTCCTATGGGGGCAGGTACAATGCCAGCCAGGCCTTTGTCGGGGAAGTCACCGACGTGTACATGTGGGATTTCCGCCTTGCACCTGATGAAGTACGTTCCATAAGTGAAGGCTGGGATATCCACTCCCCCGCCCTCCTTGACTGGAGGAACTTCCCTTATGAAATGATAGGCCACGTATTTCTGAAGCCCAGGCTGAGCTGAGCCCCACTGGTGCCTGGAGCTGTGCAGACCACCCCAACCTCTCACCCCAGTCCTGCTGCCCTATTGCAGGGGGTGCTGCCCGCCTGGTGGCCTCTGCCACTGCACACTGCCATGCCTCGTGCATCACATTTAAAGTTCTGGGTCCAGTGTCATTCCCAACCATACAGCTCCTCCCCTCCTACCCCGGGGTCCCCAGCCTCAGGGCACGCATGGCTTTCACTTGGCCAATATTCCCTGCTAGCAAGTCCCGCATGGCCTGGCTGGGCCTCCTCGCGCTACAGTTTAAGGGCATGTGCACACGTTCATGGTACCCAGTCTATGATCATGTGGCTTGCTTTAACCTGCATGGTCAGAGATTGAGTGTGGCATGTACACACGGTCACCAGTGCCAGGAGCTATGCCAGGAACCTGATCTTAGTACTGGAAGTTGAGGTGGGCAGAAGGGGGCTAGCAAGTCCACAGGGGGGTCGGCAGGATCAGAGGTGCTGGTGGGTCTGCGGAGATTCACCTCCTCAGGTGAACTAAGATCAGGCTAGCCCTTTTTTACCCAATCTAACCTCCCTGCACATCTGTACAGTTTGGTACTTAGATCGACCCTACCCTAATTATGTCTCCAAGTGTAAGGGCTGCACGTACCCTAAAGTATTTTAGATATAAGACCACAGGACTGGCCAGAGCTCCTGGGCCAGCCGTGCCCCTGGGCACTGCAGCATAGACTTGTGTTCATGTCCTGACCCCTCTTCAGCCTACAGGACCACTCAAACTGAACCTTCAGGGTCCCTTCCCCACCGCAGCTCCTCTGGAAACCTCCTCTGTTTCAAACCCAATTTATTCCTGAGTAGTCTCTGTCCATTTGCTGGAGAAGCCCTGGGCACACAGTCGCTCCACCTAGCAGGTGCCTTTGGTCTCACCCTCCCCTCCAAAACATCTAGCGCCACACTCCTCTGTATTCACGCCCCTTCGTATTCCATCGCCTCTCTGCGTTGTTCCACCAGTCACCGGCAGTAGCTGTGATTTTCGCTGGCATGCCGTTCGCTCGTCCTCTTGTTTCATGCCCTTGGGGCATACTCCATTGCTTAGGGGCTGGTCCAGATTTTTGGAGCGTATAGCAAGGTCTGTATACTACAGCTCTTTTCTGTCTCAGCCAACTGAAGTGCTTGTGACTGCATCATCTGAGAGTGGGGGGATAGTTTCTGTGTGAGGACACGTCTTGCTGATGCCATAGCTGGGTACCCCCACCCAGCACCAGGCCCAGGCCCATATTTGGCATCTCGGAGAGACAGTGCTGGAAGGGACCTCCAGACATCATCTAGTCCGCCCCGCTGCTTTAAAACCTCCCAGCTCTTCCCTATCCTGCCTCCCAGAGTCTCTGATGAGTGGTCAATATGAGTTTACCACTTGCTGCCCTGTTGATGTGCAGGACCCAGCTACTCAGCACAATTCATGATGGGGCTGGAACTGCTCCCAGCTGGGATATGTCTGAGGGGCTCCACACCTAACCATGGCTGCCCCCCACGCTCTTTGCTCAGCTCTCCCCTGGTCATGGGGCAAAGCTGGCACTCTGGGCTACTTGACATCTCCCTCTCAGTATTGTAGCTGTAGGGCACTTGTGCAGGGCACTTTGCCCGCCAGGGATGAGCACTCAAGTGCATTTGCTGTTGCGAGCTAATCACAGGGTGCATTGTATTGACACCGGCATGTACCTCCATGTTACCCACAGGCATTGCAATATTAAAGAAACAGCTTGCAAAAGAAAGCAGAGGTGTTTGCTGCCTCTGTCTGTTCTTCCTAGAGCCCTGTGCTGCGCAGGGGGCAGGGCCAGGAGGCCTCTCGTGCAGCAGGGGAGAATCCCACCCCTTCGGCCCTTCCTAGCTGTTGCAGGCATCTGTCCACATAAGTGTCACCTCCCTGGGGCTGCGCTGGCTCAGAGGGTTGTGGATGGCTGGTGCCATGGCCCTCTTTCACCTCACCTTCGGGCACAACCTGAACACAAGCCTGGGAAGTATCAATATGTGGGGCTCTTGTAAGAGCCAGATGGGACCAGATAGTGGACTAGCCAAGGTCTCCTGTTAGTAAGCGAACTCAGAAAATACCGGGAGCAGCAGAATGGAGAAATTAAATTCCTCTCCAAGTTCAAGCTCTCTAGAAACGTGGGGGCTGACTGGAGCCTGCTTAGCAGCACTTTGCACCATACCTGGCAGCAGCCTGGCCAGTGAAAACAAACCCAGTAGGTAGCTTGATCCGGACCTGAGCTGATGCTCAAGCGCCTGATGCTTTGATTGTTTTAGTTAACTCAGGTAAAGGAGGCTGCGAGCGTAGTACAGCCCCTCTAGCAGCGCTGCGTTCCGCTGGCAGTCAAACGAGGGCTTGGAAACAGAGTGCAAGGGAGGTGAGAGCGGAAAAGCTGCTGACTGCTCCAACCCTGCAAACCACCCTGGCTGTCAGGACCCCTTCTGTAACCCTACTTATGTTGTATGTCCTCCATCATGCGTGTCCTTGTGACAAGACCCGAGTTATCCACAGCCACAAGCATGCAAGCTCCCGCAAGGTGAGATGCCCAGTTACAGGAGAGCCACAAGAAACACAGCTTTACTAATTAGGGAAAAACCCTGTCACAGAACTGGGGAAGACAGCACATAAAATTAAGGTTCAAAGCACACTAACTCCTCACACTTCTCTCTCCTCCCCCCGGCCAGGGCTCAGTGCCCAGCTGGTTCCCGTGGCAGGCAGAGATCTTCACTGTCTGCATTGAAACTCCTCCTCCCACAGGTCTCAGCTTCTCTGTTGCCCTCTGCAGGTGGCCTCTGCCCCACTACCCCAGCCTTTCCAGTCACAGTCCCCATGTGGCAGGCTCCACTCTGTGGGGCTTCACGCCAGCAGGCTTTGTGGACTCCAGCAGGCTTCAGGCTAGCAGAGACTCCCACGTGCACACTCACATGCACTCTGGCTCCCCTGCTTCTATCTCCTTCTCTCCCACCAGAGTCAAGAAAGAGCAAGAGTTCTCAGGATAGGGCCCTGCCAGCACCATCCAGAGTGCAGACAGCCCCTCACCTCCCTCCCTGCAATCCAGCCATTAATCCTTTCTCCATCAGAACAAAACCCATCCAAAAAACACTTTCAACAGGGAACATCAAAGCAAACAATACAACCACATAACCATCGCAGTCCTTCTTGGTACGCCCTCCTTGGTATGTGTGTTCAGAGGTGGAGGGGCTTGTGCCTTCTTTTACTGCTTGTGAGCAATGGATTTGAATGTGAAGGGCAGAGTGACCCAGAGTCCTATGTTCCCAGGCTCTCCTGCTTGAATGGTACAGTGGAGAGGGGTGCAGAGGCACTGAGAGAGAGTTGGGCAAAGGGCACTGAGGGACTAGCACCCCCATGCCCACACAGAGGTCTGCAGTGGGGGGCCCTGAGGTCTGTCTTGACATGGGCACATGTGTGAGGCAGCACAGGCACCAAGCAGCTCGATGCCCCCGGGCTCACAACTGCCCCAGGGGTCAAACTCCACTTGCCGCCCCCGCCTTCCAACTGCCAGACACCTCCTGCACTCGCCTGCCACACCTTAGACCCTCGGCTCAGCCAGAGGCAATTGCTCTAGGTGCCGCTCCTCTGTCATGTAACAGGGCCCTGGGCCCTGGCCAGCTCCTGCCTTCTCATTTGTGCAATAGTCACAAGGGCCAGGTTGCAGACCTGCCCCGAACAGCTCACCCAAACGCCATCAGAAAACAAGCCCCCCAGGAAGGAAAACAGCTCGCACCACTCACTGGTCCCAAGCAGTCGTGGAGCGTCCTAGCTGCACCCTCCCTCCTTGCTCGCAGCCACCCCCTGCCCCTTGGCTCAGGCCCCTGATGCCAAGTTGCCTCCAGGTTCAGTCAGGTTTTGCTGGACCCCCAGCTCCAGCCTTCCCCCAGGCCTCCTCCTTCTCTGCTGGGCTCTCCCCACCTCCAGCTCTTCCCTAGGCCCCTTCCCCACTGCAGTGTCCAGGGTCTGGCCTGCCTAAGCTCTTGCCAGCAGATCCCACCCCTTCTGCTGCCACAGCTATTCTGCCAAGCTTTCGTGGAGCTGCGCTTATATAGTCCCAGACCCCGCCCCTTCTGGCAGATGTAGCCCGGCTCTTAAAGGCCCAGGCCCCTTTCAGGGGCTCCCATTACAGGGTGCATACTGCTGCAGCCAGCAGGGCTCTGGGGCTGCCTTTCAGGACCCGTGGCTGCCTAAGAGCAGAGCAGGACAGCCCTCGCTGGTGAGGAAGGGCAGCAATGCTGCCTTCTGGTGCCTGCTTCATGCCCCACAGAAGCAGAGGCTGTTGGTCAACCTGGCACTGCAGCCCAGGCTATGAATGGCCAGGAGGGCAGGCCACTGTGGGGAAAGCTTGTGCTTCACATGATCACATCCTGGGGCTTGCTGTACTTCTGCCAGAGGCTGGTAGGACTGGGCTGTGCCCATGGGTGGCAGGCCACATGCTGGGAGGTCGTGGCCATAGTGGCAGACAGGGCAGAGCAAGCTCTGTGCTGTGTTACTCTCAGTTGCATGAGGAACAGGGAGTGCCGAAGGTCAGACAGTGCCCTGTGCTCCCAGGCAGCAGCAAGGCAGAGGGACACAGCAACGGGGACTGCTCCAGGATGAGAGGACCTTCTGGGCAGACTTGCCCTTAGACATGGCAGGACGAGACCCACAGCAGCCAGCCCGTGGTGCTCGGAGCCCTGGGATAGTGCCCGGGGAATGCCAAGAGAAGACAGACTGGCAACAACCCTCCCAGGGAATGACAGACCCCCTTGGGGGTGCACGGAGGTGGGCACCCACCTGCACTGGGATCTGTAGCCTATGCCTCATGCCAGGAGCTCAGCACCTACACCAGCCCCCCCTGAAGACCTTCATTGCCAGTCCCACCTCCCAGGGCAGTCTGCTCCTCTGCCTTGCCACTCTAGCAGGGCTGTCCTGGCCTGAGTCCTGCCCAAGCCTACTGTTTCATGAGAGTAAAGCCTCTCCAGGAGACATGCAATCCAGGCAATGGTTTGGAAGGAAACAGAGACACGTTTCAGTCAAAGCTGTGAAATTTATTCTACGTTCCCATTTACACTTGATTTCAATCTTGCGATTCCTTTGAATTTAACTTCACATTTATGTCATGATGAGCTGCAGCTGCTGTTGATCCTGGTGGTGATGAAGGCCTGTCTTTTTTCCCCAGTAAGGTGTGTATGTGTGCAGCTGGGCCTGGCATGCTTGGAGGTGCACTAGGAACACGGGTAGTTGAGACCCAGCTGCACCCCACGAATTTTCCATATTACTGGTTTGTAGGAAGGGCACTGGGCACAACACAGAGGCTGTGCTGCAGCACAGAGACCGCAGGGACATAGATTATTGTATATATGAAATTCAAGCACACATGTGCATACTAGGCCCAGATACACACAGTCACACTCCTCCAGCCCTTTCACAGTTTCCCATTCTGTGCAGCTCGGAGGACACGGTACATTGAGGACAGACTGGGTTTAAGCACTACATAATGCTTGATTTCATAGGCCAGGTTTCTCCAATCAATGGCATGCGGAGGCAGAGCCTCGTTGTTCCTGACCAGTCGAATTTCAGCTGGGGTGAGAATACGGTCCCACATGTGCAGGTCAGTGATTTCCCCTACAAAGGACTGCATCTCGTCGAACTCACCCGCATAGGTGTCCTGATCCTGCCCCAGAAGGATTGAGGCCTCAGCCTTCACAGAGTAGTCCTTCTGCAGCCCTTTGCGGGGCAGGGGCTTCCCATCCACCCACAGCTCGGCAATGCCCGTGGCGGACTCCCAACTGGCGCAGATGTGGACCCACTCAGGGCTCTCTTTCTCCTGGCAATTGTAGGTCACAAAGTCCATGGCCACAGAGAGTGTGTATGTCCCAGGGTAAGCTCTGAAGAGGAGGATCTCATTGTCATGGACCTTGCTGGCGTAGGAGAAGAGGGTGTAGTTCCGGGTCAGGTCAGAGAAGTATCGCAGGCAGATGGTGAAGCTCTGCAGTGGCTGCTTGTTCTTGGTTCCCAGGAGGACGTGGGCAGTTGCAGATGTTCTAGGGAAGACAAACACCTGGCCAAAGAGATCTGCCAGGGCACAAGAGCAGCAGTGAGGTTGGCTGTGAGCCACAGTCACTGCTTGACCTCGCCCAGCCCCTCACACTGCAGGAGGGCTCTCAGCAATGGCAGTGTGGTGTAAGGGTGCAGGGGGTGATGCATGCACCTCCCACTGCTGCCCTGCGCCAGGAGGGGACTCCAGCAGGGATGGGAGTGTTCCCCCAAGAGGATGCAGAGAGCCGGGAGGGGACGGGGTGTTGGGGGCATGGTGTAGCAAGATTACTCTAGTGACAGTGTGTGGTCCTGACAGTACAGCTCCACATTCACCGATCCCCAGAGGAGCAGTGGCTCTGTGCTCTGTGCCCCTAAGATTCAGCCATTTCCTGGGACAAAAACAGCTGCTGAGCTGCCGGCACTGCCCTTCCAGCCACTTCCCTTCTTCGGTGCCATGTTGGCATGTGGAGTAGGCTGCAATGGGGGTGTAGGTCCCAGTGTTTTCCTGGGACAGGAGCCAGCTCCCACTCTGTTGCCTGCCAGGGTCCAGGGCTTTCTCTTTGGCAAGCACACCTGCACGCACAGCAGCACAGCTTGGCTGGTGCCCATCAGTCCCGTTCCTCAGCCCCCAAGATGCCAGTCCTAGGTTCCTGTAGCTCAGCTGTTGCTCCTTCCTGCAGCCCTCGGCTCTCCCTACCGGGGTTCTCCCCTCGCACAGCTCTGCCAGAGCCCCTCACTCCAGACCCAGCGCCTCCGCTCTCCCCACCCCAATGCAGCCAGCTGGCTGCTCCACCCCTGCCCCAGCCCCAACTGGCCCAGACCCCTCTGTCCCCTACCTTGCTGGGCAACAATCCCCGAGAGGCCAGCAAGGACAAGGAGCCAAAGCAGCAGCTTCTCCATGTTCAAGTGCAGGATGAAGCAGGGGCAGATTCTCCACAGCAAGGAGGAGGGAATGGGAGCCGGGCCACGCTGCTGGGGGATGTGAACCCAGTGATGCCAGTCCCTGAGTGCGGGGCCCTCCAGGCTCACCCACTTTATATCTCCAGCAGCAGCAGCAGAATCAATGTGTAAATGACCTGCCAGCCAGGTGGAGCCAGGAGCTGCTGGGGCACGGGCACCCAGGCAGGTGCTGGCACTTGCAGACCGATGGAGTTGATTACCACAGCTTGGCATGAGCGTCCGCCCCTCCACTCCGAGTCAGACTAGCTGACACCATTGGGATCTGAAAGAATTGTACCCCACGGTCACAGGCATGACGGGCTTTGCTTTCCTTGGTCGCTGAAGCATGGTCCTCTTCCTTGGATCTCTCTTGGATTTCTAGCTCTTAGGAGAGCAAAGATTTGGGATGGTCTGAGCAGAGTGGTGGGGGTTAAAAAACCCAAATCACTCCCAGATAGTGCTTGCCAAGTCAGCGAGAGGGGACCTGTGGCAGGACAGCTGTGTCTGGACACGTCAAGTAGCTGCCGTCCCCGTGTCAGAGTGGCGAGGCAGCTCTCTCTGTGCAGGAGGTGCCTGGCACTCTGTGCTCCAGAGATTTTGCTGGTCACCAGCGATCGTTTGCCCCCTGAATGCATTGGCTACTGGGTGTGTTTTGTTGTTTGTTCTTGATCCTTCCTCTGAAGCAGTGGGCTTTGGCCACAGCTAGTGGGGCAGAGCGGATTGGGATGTACTGCTCTCTTGCTGGTACTTTGAAACCTAAGTTTAGGGTGGCAGGCACCTGCCATACTCCTAAGACAGACTCCTGCCCCAGAATGATGATTTCCTATGATCTAGGGGCCCTCACATCGAGTGAGCCATTGGGGCCTCCAATATCCCATACTACATTTTCCCTCATTGCAGCCCATGCCCCACTGCCCCGCGTGCAGGGGATGGAGAAGGCCGGCCTAGATGACTCATGGGTACCGGGCCTGGAGTCTTGCACGTTTACTGTCACCCACTGCTCCCGGGCCTCCAAAATCTGTTGGGGGTAGAGGGAGCCCAGCTGCATAAGAGTTTCTCTGTCCCCAATCTTGGTGACAAGGGGGAGTAGAGTGGCTGCCCCTTAAAGCACCTGGGCAGAAGAACCAGGCTGCAGCCAGCGTTGATCTGGAAAAGGTGCAGACAGCAGGTGAGAGGGACCCACTGCCTGGACTGGGGTCCCGGGTGGAAGACTTGCGAGAGCTTCAGCAGGGCAGGGAGGGAAGAGGAAAGGAGGGAATCTGGGGGACAGGGAGGCTGACAATGGGCCCAGGCCCCTCCTGGGACAGAGAAAGGGAGGACAGGGACACCTGTTTGTCATTTTTTGTTGGACTTCAGTTTCTTTGTGTGTGGGAATAAATTGCGCTGAAGAAGCTGCCAACAGAGCCACAGCATGGCTGTCTGCTATGGCCTAGGTTGGGGTGCTAGACCCCAGGATCCATATGTGGGGAACTGTACTGTGAAGGAGTCCTAGAAGAGCCAGCCAGGTCTTGCACAGTCCTGGGCCTCCTATCACCGCAGGATGACTGGTCGCAGCTCAGACACTGAACCAGCAGTGCAGGCCTCTCCCACTCTTGGCTCTGGACAAGCAGCAGTGCCAGGAGCAGAATGGGCTAAGAAAGTGCCCACATGGGTAGGCTGGAGACACTGAAGCCCCCCAGAGCTGGGACTCTCCATCATGTGGAGGATGAGGGTAGTGGGCTCAGCAATGTTTCACACTGCACCTGCCAGCAAGCAGGCCAGAGAAAAGAAACCTGGCAGCACCTGACTTCAGCTGGTCTCGGGTGCCTGATGGTAACTGCTGGACTCATGCTCACTGTCAGGCACTCCTCGGCTGGGGCCCGTGTCTATGAAAACAGGGTACGGATGTACAAGCACCTGTTTAGCTACTGTAGCCTCCAGAAGGGCGAGCTTAGAGATCTGAGATGGGCCGCTAGGTCAGGTACGTGGGGCTTGCAGCCAAGGAAAAGCTTTGCCTGCTTTACTCCAATGGGCAAATATTTCCTGGGCTTGTGCTTGGCTTGGTCTGCTTTGGCATCAGTTGCAGGCCAAGAAGGTATTAAGAAAAATAGAATTGCTCCTAGATCATAGCTTACAGAATATAGATTTTAGTGAAGCAAAGGATCTGGGCTGAGAAAAAGCCATTTTAGGCCTAAAATTAGGAGTACTGAAGACAAAGGTATTATGAGTTAGGCTGCAGGATATGAAGCAAAGGTAGGACAAGACATGCAAAAGTGTAAGCAACTCTGGGGTTTCCTTAACAAATAAAATGAAACAGCTGACATGTTTCTGCTTTGGGTGCAAGCTGCTACTCTTTTTTTCTTGCTTGAATTGCTGCATATTTGACGTGCATTGACACATATTGAAAGGCTTGTTTTCAATATGCCACAAAACTACATTGTGATAGGCCAAGAAGTTACGTTGGGGGATAAAATAAGGAGTTACTTTGAAATCAAAGTCTCCGATGGAGGTCTCTCTCTCTCTATATATATGAGGTTATATATATTTACACCGAGTTTCACTCCACAAAGAAAACCTTAACCTGTTACAAAAACTGCACCCGTGCATCCCATGCAAGGCCCGCTGGCCACCCAAACCCATTACAATATCTACATTGCACACTACACACACAAGCAACTTCTGGTCTCTCAGACCAGACAGCCCCTTCCTTTCATCCCCACCCGGCTTGCAGGGTCATGTACTCAGTTCACCTGTCGTTCATGTCGCTGTCGCTCCAGGTCCCGCTGGCGGACCCGCTGCTGCTGTCGCTGTTCCTGGTCCCACTTGTCTCTTCCTCTTCCTCACTGTCACCACCCCCTTCTCCACTAAGGGGAAGTTGGAAGATCCTGTGCCACGTGTCTCTGTGCCAGTTGGCTTTGGCCATGTCCTCTCCATCCTCTGCTACCGATTACAGGTAGTAGGTCTGGAGTTTGCTCAGAGCCATTTTCACGCAGCCTACTACCTCTATGTCCGTGTGCCTGGACAACAGGAGGTTCCTGGCCTTTCACAGGACGCTCCTGATGCAGGATGCAAACTGGTCAAAATGGGGCAACGGGCTCCCCTGGTGTTTGGCGAGATGCCCGTACAGCGCCGGTTCTCTGGTTAGCTGGTTGACACCGGTCATCGCTTCGCAAAGCTTCTTCACCCTTTTCCATACCTCCTTGGTGCAGGTGCAGAGCCAGAGGACGTGGTCGATCGTCTCGGTGGCCACATGGCAGTTGGGCCATAGGCAGCTAGATCTCCCCAGCTGACCCTCTCTACACCTCCAGGCCCTCACTGACAAGGGTTGGTGGGTTATGACCCGGTTCAGATCCTTGTCATCTTTGCACAGGTCTTTGTGGTTGATGCACTCCCACACGGCCTGGCACGTGTCACCCGAGAACAGGTCCATGGGTGACTTGGTGTCCCGCAGCCTTGCTGTTGCCTGGATCTTCTTGTGCTTGCTTATGGTCATGGGGCCTGCGCTATGCAGGCTGTACAAGCTGCGGCTCTGGTTTAAGATCTCGTAGAACCAGGGTGAGCCCATGACCTGAGGCTGGTCAGGGTGAACACCCTCCCAGTGTCTCAGGATGTGCCCTGCAAAATATCTCACCAGGCAAGTGGATTTGGATTCCGTGTCCATCGCCAGCTTGCAGATCTGGCTCATATACGTGGCCCACAGGAACAGGAGGATGTCTGGCATGCCCCTGCCCCCAGCCCTCTTGTCCTTGTACAAGGTCTTCCTGGCGATCTAGTCGATGGTCTCTGTGGTACCTTGGCAGTTTTTCGTGGGGTAGCTGGGTCAAGTCCCTTGCCCCTCTGCATCGCCATGTCCTCACTGGGAGTGTGTGGTGAGCTATAGGCCAATTTAAGTCTCATTGGCCCGTTTGTAGGTCCTTGTGGAAGATCTGCTCCCAGACGGCCAGCTCAGCAGTGACCCCACCAGGCCCAGGCCCCCATGCAGAGTGCCCAGATGCCTGTGCCTTGCACGCTGTGATCCAGGCCTCCTGTGATGCACTGGGCACCCTCCAGCCCTGCTCCTGCCTCCCCTGCAGGCTACAATGGCCAGGGCCAGGGCCCCGCCGCTCCCTGCGTGCCTGCCCATGCCAGCCACCCAGCTGGGCAAGAGGCTGGAGGGGATACAGCAGCAGGGCGCAGAGGGGCACACAGTGCTGATGCTGACTCCACCTGCCTCCTCTCCTGGCACTGAGCCTTTTCCTTAAACCCTGCCTTAGCCGACTGAACGTGCTTGTTTGCCGAGCACCTTGGCCATGTTTGCTTTGGCTTAGCCAGGCTCCTTTGCACTCTCTTCTGTTTGCACAGCCCAGCTCAGTGCAAACACCCCTTGTTTGTGGCTGGCAGGTCTGCTGCGCTCCCTAAGTGGCACCTTGTTTGGGGCTCTGTGCAAACAGGCTTGTGATGAATCTGTCATGGCTCTTCTGCACTGAAGGGAAAGGGGTGGCTTGAGAGGTTGAAAGATGCCCTGGGAGTGTGGAACGGGAGCCAGACATGGGCTTGCTCTGTCCCCAAGCTCCAAACACGACTGTGGGTGTGTGGATATGGTGGGGCTGGTGGGGGATGTGGGAGGGTGGGGGGTGTGTTTGGGGCTATGGTGGCG